CTCTCCCTTCGTCCCACGACTTCTCCACCACACTCCTACACCCCTCATCATGCAACCAGGCCATCTCAAACCGAAAACCCCTCCTTCCCCGAGGATCCATAATCCCAAGGAAAAGAGTAGAATGACCAGAGGTGTGGGTCAAAAGATTGTGAACATTAGCTCCAACTACCCCTTCACGCCACCTTTCAGTGGCTAACACCTTATCCAACCGTTCCTCCATCTAAGCAACCATCCATTTCCCTTTTTCCCATGTGTACGGATAACCCTTCATTGGCATCTAAGACAAACCAAAATCCTCAATAGCATCCTCAAAGCCGCATAGGAGGCCATCAGGATGAGGATTTCCGCCCCGCTTCTCGTGTTGAAAGAAGAGATCGTTAAAATCCCCAATAACAACCCAAGGGAGAACATACCTTTGAGCTAGTGATTTAATTAACTCCCAGGACTCACCTCATCTTCTTCGTTCAGGAAAGCCATAAAAACTTGTCATTCGCCACTTTGCAAAACCAGGAACACTCACCTCCACGTCCACATGATTTTTACTGAAACTTAGCAATCTGGCCGTATTATTTGTCTTCCACAACAAGGCTAGACCACCACTCAAACCAGTACTGTCAACATAGAAAAGAACATCAAAACCAAGTTTAACACGGAAGCGCTCAGCATGAATCCTCCCCACCTTGGTTTCCAGTAAGAACACAAACTCGGGGTTCTTACAGGACACCATGGCCACAATCTCGCAAACTGTACGTGGATTGCCCAAGCCACGACAGTTCCAACTGAGGGTACTCATTGTGTTGGGCGGGTCTGTGACACAGGTCCCGCCGTAAACAAGTTTTTTGAAACATCAGACATAGCAACATCACTTCCCCCGCTCATAAGACGACGTCCACCTCCGGCAGCCGCCTCCCTTGGCCGTTTCGAGGCTGCCACCACTGCCACCTCCGCAACCCTCACTGTATCCGAACCCGTGACCCCACCTCTTCCCCCATTTACCATCGACTGCACTGTTTTGTTCCTCCCCTTCGGCTTGCCGCCTAATGGCACCAACCACGGCTCCCCCACCGGCCTACAACCTCAGTTTCCACCTGCCCGAAGTTCAGCACTGTATGGAAAATGCTCAACGGGTACCAATGTTCCTCTAGCCTTCAGATAGAACTTGTACGAGTGCCCCAACATCCTGCAGAAAAAGCAAAACGTATGGAGTGTCTCGTACCTAAAATTAACCTAGTATTTTGTCTAATCTCGCTTTAGCATCTTCATTCTTCGTTTTAGCCGTCGTGAAACCGGGATGGAGACACATATGCGGTAAAACGAAAGACACTGTGCACCCGAGAACCTGTCATCATGTTTAACAAACGTGCCAATGAAGTTGCTTATCTGTTCTTGAATAACCGCAGATGTATATCCCAATGGTAAATCGTGAAGCTGCACCCAGATATCCAGTGTGTCAAGCTCGACCTCCATCGGTAGGGAACCTCAACATGTTGGCGGAAAACTAGGGTTTGATTCTCAAATGACCACGACCCTTCATTCATAACATAGAGCATATCCGTTTCATTGAAGAAAACGAACATGAACCGGTTGGGTTGTACTTCAGATATCTGGACGCCCTGCACTGGTTGCCAGACCGACGTTAGGGTTTGCTGCATGTATTCAAGCTTCACCGTCCTTCCCGTCAAGAAGCGCCCGATCAGTATAGTACCCAGGTTTTGTCAGTGTCATCACCAGCCTCGCCGGCTGCCTTGGACACCCGCTTAAACACCCCCTCCTCCTCGTCTAAAGCCCAATCCGCCCAACGGGTCGAAAGCTGGCCAACTTCCTCCTCCTCCCTCGCTGTCGCCATGCACGTCGTTGAGAAAGAAACACCGTTGATCGGCCAGTAAGCCGTCAGAATAGTAGAAGAAAATCGAAGAAGATCCGGGGAAAATTGTTTACATTATTAATAAACAAAATATAAATTTTGTTCATCTCTATAGTTTTCAAATACGATGATTAAAATTTACTACTTTAAGCAATTGCGAAATATAATTTGAACTATAACTTGTAGTAATTTGCATTTATCAATTTTTTATTGTTGGGCAGGTGTTTTAATAATTCTTATTTTTCAAATATTAATTATGCAGATGGATGATTCTTCATCTTGTCATCAATAAAACACTTCAAGTGACACTCCAAGTGAGCCAACTGAACAATCGGTCAGGAAACGTTCAAATAGTGGACTTCCACCAAAATCAAAATCAATTTTTTTTAAATAGAATCGAAACGAAACCCGAAATAACACTGTGACACCCCGAAAATCCTATCCTTTAAATAGGATTAATTGAGTAATTTATCCTAAGTTATCCTTGTTAATTTCCTAATAAATTTCCTATATTGATAGACGGAGGACCTAAATTGACCAACTCCTTGGTCAATTGATTTAAGTCAAAAAGGTGTACCATTAGCTTTGATGTTTGTACCTAATTCTCTGGAGTCTTCCTAAGCCTTACTAGGAAAAGTAAGGGTAAGATGGTCGTTTCTCCTTACTTGGTCTTGAAGCCTTACCCTACCCAAACCTAAAGTTCATTCCCTCACTATAGCAAGACAACTTTTCTCTCCGTTCTCTATAAGAAACTTGGCTTCTTCCCGAAGCCAAGAAAGACATCACCCAATCTTGCAAAGATTCATCCCAAGATCCCACCTTTCTATCTTCCAAGCATAGGAAAGGGTAAGATCTAAAGTTATTTAGTGTTTTTGGTTAGCTTTAAGGTGTCTTTATCTAAATTTGGTGTTTTCTTGTGGTTTGGCTTGTGAAAGAAGGTTGTGAGGAAGAAGAGTTTCCAAGTAGGGCTTAGGAGGGTTGGAAGGAAGAAGGTTTTGGTCTACAAAGGTAACCCATGCTATACAAAACCTATTTTCTACTTGTTATTGATGTTTCTTGACTTCTATTGATGATTCTTGGTGTAAATGTGAGATTTGATGCATGATCTTGTGATAATGCATTTTTAGAGCTTGTATCTAGGTTTCTTGAATGCTATTCTTTGATTTATTCTTGGGTTCAAGTCATTTCCTTGTGGTATGTGAGATTTGGGGTGTTTTGGACTTGAACTTGGCCTTGTTGATGAATTTCCCCGAAGGGAAAAATTGGTGTCTCGGTTGTTCCCCGCGGGCGGAACGGCGGGCGGATGTCCACCCGCCGCCCCACCCGCGGGTGGTGGCTTTGTACCCGGCGGGTAGAGCCACGGGTAGGGACCCACCCGTGATTCCACCCGCGGGGTACAACCTCGGTGGACGGTTGGATGTTGTTTTTCCATGGTTCCATCCTTTGGTATGTGATGTTTTGACCCCCTTTTATTGGATTGTTGAGCTTTTGGGTGTCTCCATGATGTTTCGTATGTCTAGAATGATGTCCTAAGTATCTACGTTAGGATTTGGTGTCTTGAACCGTGCTTATGGTCCAACTTTGTGATTCGTTGGATTTATGTGTCTTTGAGATTCGTTGGAATCATTTTGGTTTACCCGTTTGATGTGCATGTTAGTTATGTTGTATTTGATGCTAGTATGTGTTGTTTGTCCATTCCTTTGAGGATTGGCAACTTGTGTTGCCAATCATGTTGATATTGGATTGAAGTCCATTGTTGTTGTTGAGTATTGTTTCATGTCTATCATTGAAACCTCTTGTTTGATTTCTATGATGTGATATTGTACATTTGTTGTACCCGTTGTTGATGCTTGATTAGGCTATTGATGTGCCTCAATCCTCTTGATGATGACTATGTATGATTGTGAATGAGATTGACTGTATTCTTATTTGAGCTTTGCTCTTGAGATCGGTGGTATGTTACTATGATATTCAATGGTACCCTGGAGTACTGAGAGATCGACGGTATTGATTGGCGGCAGATTGGTGGGAGACGACGGTCCCAGGAGGGATAAGGTTGGACTCAGAGGTACAGGGTGGCACTCGGAGGTACAGGTTGGAACTGAGATAAGGCCGGGGGTAGTCATAAGGGTGGTAGTAAGGTAAAAGGTTGGAACGTGAAACTCGTCATTATGTGATTTGTTGTGTTTATTGCTTATGAGTATGTCTATCGAGAACTCAACCATTAAGATGGTAGGTTGTGTCTATTGTTGAGTATGTTGCTTGTTGTTCTTGTTGATTTGTGTATTGTGGTTGATGGTCGGTCTTTTGTTGAGAGCGTGACGTTGTTTCCTTTGATGTTTCCCTCTCTTGGTTTTGAAATGATATATACCGTATTCCTTTGTTTCAAATGGTTTTGCTTATATCTATACATTATGTTATTTAACGCGTATTGGTGGGTTACCAGCATCTCTTGCTGACGGGTGTTATCCCTATGTTTTTCAGGTTATGAGTAACTTGGAGAGCGCGCTAGTGGATCTAGATTGCGTAGTTCTTGCCTTCCCTTTCGATTAGACTGTTGGCATGTGTGCCTTAGATTGTTGGCCTCTGTGCCTTAGACTGTTGATATGTTATGATGATTCTGTTAGACTTAGCATGTGCACCCGTAGATTTATGGGTGTGGCATAGCACTTTCCCGATTAAGAGTTTTGCTTCCGCTCGTTTATGATTAATGATTAGACTGTTTATCTCTTATTTAAGCTTTTAAATATTGGTAAAATCGGGGGTGTTACAGTTGGTATCAGAGCCTAGGTTTGAGCCTAGGATGTTAAGAGTTGAACTTTAAGAAGTTAAGTTAAGTTTGAGACTCTAAGTTGACCCCTAATTGGCTAAGTGTTAGGACTTAAGACTCTTAGGACGTGCGGTGAGATGTGAGTTTCCTTTATCGTTTGTTGTGTTTGCTTTGCTTACTCTTGCTTAGTCTTAGTTTTTTCTTGCCTTAAGCATTGGGTAAGGATGCAAGTCTCTTCGTTTCCTTGCCGTAACCGTGTTGTTTCTGTAGAATCTTGTGATGGCACCTCCTCGTTATCGTGCCCGGACCCCAGATACGCTTACGAATGAGTAGCTCGCCCAGAACCTTCAGCACCTCATGCAGACTATGCAGACGTTGAGCAACGCCCTTCTGCACAATAACAACAACCCTCCGCCACCGCCAGCTAGAAACCACGATGTTTGCCGGCAAGTCTCGAGTCACCGACCTCCCGTGTTCACCGGGGAAGAAGACCCTGTTCTGTTAGAAGAGTGGATCCGTGCCTTGGACAAAATCTTCGCAGTGGTTGGTTGTCCTGAAGACCGTCATGTGGAGTTAGCGACGCTCTACTTCAGCCACGAGGCGGACCTATGGTGGGTCCTTGAGGGTCTAGCATGTCTTGAGGAACCGACGTTTTATTGGTCAGCTTTGAAGGACAAGCTCCAACAGAGGTTCTATCCGGCGCATGTGAGAGCGACTATGTAAGAGGAGTTCCTCCACTTGAAGCAAGGGACTCTGTCCGTAGTGGAGTACCATAAGCGTTTTCTTGAGTTGGCCAGTTTCGCGCGCGTGTTGGTTCCCGCCGAGGTTGCCGAGGTGGACAAGTTTGTAGCGGGGCTGAACTATGAGGCAAGGAAGGCCTTGACGGTGAGCAAACCAAGGACTTTCAATGAGGCTTATTTGAGTGCCGCGGATTTGTATCGAGTTCAGCAGTTGCAAAGAGGGGAAAGAGGGTCTTTTGACTCGGTCAGGAGAAGGGGTGAAGTTAGCGGCCAACAGAGCTTCAAGAGACCGAGACAGAGCTTTAGGAGTGGACCATCCTCCCTACTGACTCAAGGATCGACCAAAGTGGACAACGGCGAGAAGGGAAAGCCTTTCGAATGCCGGAGATGTGGTAGGCACATCGGGAAGGACTGCCAAGGAAATCCGTTGCTTTGCTACAAGTGTGAGAAGAGAGGTCACAAAGCCTTCGAGTGCCACCTCTAGTCGGGTCAAGGAGCTCCATAGTCCAGTGCAAGGCATGCACCGTCGGGGTAAACAGGAAATGGATTCAATCGTGGCTCCGGGAATATCACCTCGGGATGAGCGAGACCGCAAGGCAAGTTGTACATGATGAGCCGATCGCAGGCCAAGGCTGAGGGTTTGACTGAGGATGAGGCTACAAGTACGGTTCTCAACCCAACCGTTTTGTCTTTGAAGTTGTACCTTTTTCGTTTCTCTTCCTTGCATCTTTCTTTTTGGGTAGAAATCAATTAGGGGATGTTAGATATAAACAGTTATAGAAGATGGAAAGGCATAGAATTAAATAGACTAGGAAGTGAAGAGTTGTAAAACAGTCCATTGTGGTAGTATATATATCTAAGTGTAGCAGTGAAGAAGAACACACAGAAAATAGAACAAACACATTACGTTGATGTCCCTTCTTTCTAGCAACATGGTATCAGAACCGGCGAGAGTGAAGTAGTGGGCCTTGATCGGAAGGAGGAGGCGACGCCAGGTCTCAAGCCGCGCCGCCATAAGAGTTTCCACACGCCACCGTCGTCCAGCTGCTCCGACGCCACGCGCCGGCGCGTGAGGCGTTCTCCAGCCACCATCGACGACGACGATTACTCCGGGGAACTCGCCGTGAGGAGTAGGCTCTGCCCAGGTATGTTGTGTGGAGTTTTAGTTTGTGGATGATTGCACTTAGGGTTTCCGAACCTAGGTTGAACGTGAATAAGCAGTTCATTGTTGCTTTAAGTTTTTGGGCTGTTGAATCACTGCTTCCAGAAGTCTTCAAATAGTGGTCTATCTATTAATTTGTAACAGCATCAACGTGAATAGGCAGTCATGGCAGAAGGAAGTAATAAGAATATTACTGTTGTATCTACTCCATCTAAATTAATTGATGTAGTGTTGGCTGCTGATGGGTCTAATTTTGTTGAATGGAAATTCTTGGTTAAAATTAATTTAGATGGAATGGGTAAAGGTGACCATTTAGATAAAGATTGCCCTGCAGATAATAAAGAATGGTAAATAGATGATAAAGCTTTATTATCACGGGTAATTAATTGTATTGATAGAAAGGTGATTTTATCAATGCAACATTGTACCACGGCTAAAGCAGTGTGGGAGTTAGTATCTGAATGGTTCAGTGGGACAAGTAATTTGAGAAAATTATATCAGTTGTCTCAAGATGTCTATAGACCTAATCAAAAAGGTCGAGATCTGAGAGACTACTATTATGATTTTAAAAGCTTAAGTGAAGCTTTATGCACTGCAATGCCTATTACAACTGATGTGAAAACAATGAAAGAACAACGTGATCAGTTAATTGCTTTTAGTTGGATTTCTGGGCTTGACAAAGAATATGAGATTCTTAGGTCACAATTATTGGGAAACAAGGAATTAGGGTCGTTGGACCAAGTATTTTCTCAGATACAAAATGCAGCAGTAACTGTTGACAATAATGAACCTGTTGAGAAGAGTGTTTTTATGTCACAAGGGAGCAATAGTGATGGAAGTGTGTTTGTATCTCAAGGAAATTATACTAATGAAGGGTATAATAGTCGAAGTGGAGGTGGTCGCCAACGAGGACGTGGTGGAAGAGGCCGTGGAGGAGGTCGTGGAGGACCAAGGGTATGTTTCAATTGTGGAGAACCGGGCCATTTCAAAAATCAATGTCCTAAATTACCCAGGCAACAAAGGTTTGCTAACACAACCTCCGGATCTGAAGGACATATGGTAATTATGACAGATGAGGAGTTAGCAGCGTTCAATCAACTGAAAATGTCTTCTCCTATGCAGTCTCCATCTCAGTTTCAATCTAGTCAACCGTCTTCTTCTGCAACCTTTGTCCAAACAGGTAATCCTGTTGCGTGTGTGTCTTCTTCGTCTACACAGTGGGTCATTGACTCTGGAGCTAGTGACCATATGACAGGTAATTCTAAGGTTTTTTCCACATATTCTCCATCTAATCCTGGGGTTATGGTTACTCTAGCAGATGGGTCATCCATTCCAGTTTTGGGAAGAGGTAGTGCTGGTGCAGCCTCATCATTACCCTTGTCATCTATATTATATCTTCCAAAGTTTCCCTTTAATTTGCTCTCTGTTAGCCAGATCACACGGTCTTTGAATTGTTCTGTCTCATTTTTTCCGGGTTATTGTTTCTTTCAAGATCTTTTGACGAAGAAGATTATTGGTAAGGGGAAGGAAGTCGGAGGACTGTATGTGTTAGAACAATCTATATCTCCATCCAAGGCCATGTTGAGTGATACCTCTCCTTTCCAGCTACATTGTTGATATGGTCACCCATCACTGTCAGTCCTAAAGAAACTCTTCCCTAGCTTAGAATCACTGTCTACTTTGCAGTGTGAGTCGTGTGAGTTTGCTAAGCATTGTCGGGTTTCCTACCCTCCTCGTGTCAATAAAAGAGTACGATCTTTATTTGAACTTGTTCATTCTGATGTCTGGGGTCCTTGTCATGTCACAGGGAAGAATGGGTTTATATATTTCGTAACCTTTGTGGACGACTTCTCTAGGTGTACATGGTTATATCTTATGAAATCTAGAGATGAGTTGCTTACAATTTTTTGTAGTTTTTGTGCTGAGATCAAAACCCAGTTTAATAAAACTATTAAGTGTGTGCGAAGTGACAATGCACAAGAATATTTCTCTAAACCCTTTTCCACTTATATGGGCCAACATGGGATAGTTCATCAATCCTCGTGTGCGTATACACCTCAGCAGAATGGAGTGGCAGAAAGGAAAAATCGTCATTTGTTAGAAATAGCTCGGGCAATTTTGTTTCAAATGAAAGTGTCTAAAGTCTTTTGGTCTGATGCTGTTCATACAGCATGTTTCCTGATCAATCGGATGCCTTCTTCAGTCTTTCAAGGTCAAATTCCTTATTCTTTAGTGTATCCGACTGAACCTCTTTTTCATCTCCCACCCAAAATATTTGGATGTACTTGTTTTGTCCAGGATGTCGTCCACAACGCCGAAAACTTGATCCAAAATCTCTTAAGTGTATATTCCTGGGATACTCGCGTACTCAGAAGGGTTATAGATGCTATTCACTTGACTTGGGGAGGTATTTAGTGTCAGCTGATGTTACTTTCTTTGAAAACATGGTGTTCACTGGGGGTGTTGGGTCGTTTGGGTATGGATCTACTCAAGACAATGACTTTCTTACATATACTGTTACCATACCGGTCGAGTCTGTTTCTAGACCTCCCATTACACAGGTGTATACTCGGCGGCCGAGAGATGAAGTGGCACCACCTGAACCACAAGTGAATACTTCTTCCTTACCAGAATCTTCGTCAAATGATCTGGATCTTCCCATTGCCCTTCGTAAAGGTAAACGACGTTGTCAAAATCCTATTTCATCTTTTGTGTCTTATGATCATTTACCATTATCATCTCGCACCTTTCTATCACGTTTAGATTCCGTGTCAGTTCCAAACACTTTGAGTCAGGCTTTAGCACATGATGGGTGGAGACATGCAATGGAGGATGAGATGACTGCTCTTGAGGAAAACCATACTTGGGATTTGGTACCCCTCCCGGTCGGTAAGACTGCAGTTGGTTGCAAGTGGGTTTATGTTGTGAAAATGAACCCTGATGGGTCTGTGGCCAGACTTAAAGCTAGTCTAGTAGCAAAGGGATATACACAGACTCATGGTGTTGATTATACAGAAACTTTCTCCCCGGTAGCTAAGATAGCTTCAGTTCGTATTTTTATTTCCTTAGCTGCATCTAACCACTGGCCTCTGTATCAGCTAGATGTCAAAAATGCCTTTTTATATGGTGATTTGGTTGAGGAAGTCTACATGGAGCAACCTCCTGGGTTTGTTGCTCAGGGGGAGTCTGGAAGGGTGTGTAAATTGAAAAAGCCTCTATATGGCCTGAAGCAATCTCCACGAGCTTGGTTTGGGAGGTTTAGTAGTGTGATTATGGAGTTTGGTATGCAAAGGAGTCAGTGTGATCATACTGTCTTTTTCAAGCATACTAATGTTGGGTGCATTCTCTTGATTGTTTATGTTGATGATATAGTAATCACAGGTAATGATGCAGTAGGTATTGAAGCTCTTAAATCTTTCCTCAAAGAAAAGTTTCATACGAAAGATTTGGGAGTGTTGAAGTATTTTTTAGGGATTGAAGTTGCTCGCTCTCGGAAAGGAATATTTCTCTCCCAAAGGAAATATGTGTTAGATCTGCTTGATGATACTGGGTTGTTGGGATCAAAACCATGTGAGACCCCTATGGAGCAGGGTGTGAGACTTGTGGCTGGTGAGGGGGAGGCCTTTGATTCTCCAGAAAGATATAGGAAGTTGGTGGGAAAGTTAAATTATCTCACCATTACGCGTCCTGATATTGCTTTTCCAGTCAGTGTGGTAAGTCAGTTCATGCAAGCACCCATGCGAACTCATTGGGAGGCAGCAGTTCGAATTGTAAAGTATCTCAAGAATGCACCAGGTAAAGGCATTCTATATGCTGATCATGGACATGCCAGAGTTGAGGCATTTTCGGATGCTGATTGGGCAGGTTCGTTAAGTGACAGGAAGTCCACAACAGTGTATTGTGTGTTCGTAGGAGGTAATTTGGTTTCTTGGAAAAGCAAGAAACAGACTGTTGTGGCTCGGTCCAGTGTAGAATCTGAGTATAGGGCGATGGCTCATGTGACGTGTGAAATAACTTGGGTGCACAATATGTTGAAGGAGGTTGGTGTGGAAGTGATGAAGCCCATACGTTTATGGTGTGATAATCAAGCAGCGATACATATTTCAAACAATCCAGTGTTCCATGAGCGTACCAAACATATTGAGGTAGATTGCCATTTTGTGCGTGGAAAGATTCAACAAGGCCTCATTTCCATGGCTCATGTTCGTAGCGGCGATCAACTAGCTGATGTGTTCACCAAAGGGCTTAGCAGGGACAGGGTTGAGTATATTTGTAACAAGCTGGGCATGATTAATATCTATGCTCTAGCTTGAGGGGGAGTG